TCCAGGAGAGATACACATGAGAATATATTTCCATGTATAGCATTTGGAAAATAAGTCTTCTGGTTATAGCAGCTCCTCTTTCTAGCCCATGTTTTCCCATGTTCTCCCAGGCTGCAGCCAGCGCCAGCCAGAATAGGAAGAAAGAATGCTTAAGGGAATATTTTCTTAGCAACATTAATCCCAAAAGTTCTTTGCCAAAGAAGGGTTTTGTTGGTCACATAAATTTTGGAAGTACTCCATATTCTGTCTTTGAGGGCCAAGATGTTCATTAGCAAATTAGGAGTCCTATGAGGATTGGCAGTTAAAAAATTTGTTTAAGCTATTTAACTATAAGCCAGGATTCCCAAATGTATGACCATGGAACCTGTTTTCATGTAATCTCCATAAAGATCAGAGTGAGAAATGCTAACATAGGAAATGTTTTCAGAGTTTAGGTTCCCTAGGGAACTGAGTCTTCCATCTTTTTCTTTTCCCTTCAGCATCTTGCACATAGTGAATTCTATTAAATTTTAAGGTAATATTGATTATGGCTGTTGTAGAAAAAGTATGTGTGTGGAACTGATATAAAAAGTAGTGTTAAATTGGCATTCATTAGAAGGTCTTGCGTGAGTTGGGAAAAGAGAAAGTCATTTGTGTAGAAAAAAATAGGATTGGACTGCACAACTCAAGTGCCCACTTTGTTAGCTGTGCAAGTCTTGAGAAGAGGGGCTGAGAATAACATCCAGGAACATACAAACATCCGGGAATGTGCTCCCAGCCCCTGAAGTATGTAAAAGGTTGTAGGTAACAATTTGGTAGTACCCATAAACGGGAGAGCTAAATATGATATGAGATGACTTATAAAAGCAAGAATTCCATACTCCATTTTATTTCTTCATTTAAGGGGCATTTATTGGAACCTTGCTATTTACAAGACACTGTAGGAGATAAACATGTGTGAGGCATAGTCCTTCTCAGGTACATTGAGACTAGTGAGGAAAGTCAGTTTAATACAGTGTATAAAATGGCGAGGTGCCATAGGCACCTTGTGCGATAAGGAACAATGGAACCATAAAATGAATGCTGCTTCACTTTTGCTCTCTAAGTCTCCCGTAATCTATCTTGTGACCTACCCTAACCGGAAATATATAGGAAATAAAATTCTGGGAAATCCAGTTCAGCCTGAACAAGTTGACACAGTATAAAGCCATCACACCATCGCTTTCCACTCTCACTTTCTCAGTGGGTCCACACACAAAGTGTCATGGCAACAAGGATGGGCTCAACAACCTGACGTTCCACTCATCAAGCCTGATTTAACTTTGGCCATCGTTAGTCATTAGGGAAATGCAAGTCAAAATGATAAGATACTGCTTTGCACCCACCAGGATGGCTATAATAAAAAAGATAGACCATAACTAGTGTTATAAGGATTAGGAGAAATTAGAACCCTCACACACTGCTGGTGGTAATGTAAAGTGGTGCAGCTGCCTTGGAAAATAGTTTGGAAGTTCTTCAAATGTGGTGGGGGAGAATGGAGAGTGATTATTAACGAGTAAGGATTTCTTCCTATGACAAAATGTTGTAAAATTAGATGTGATGGTTACACAACTCTGAATATACCCCAAACCATTGCATTGTGCAGTTTAAATGGATGATCTATAGAGCATGTGAATGATAAAGCTGTTAAAATGCTCTGTCAATTATCTTTACCTACCCAACAGCCTCCAGAAGAACTCATATTATTTATATTGTAATTCCTTTGTTTGTAATTTCTCTATATAACTGGGATCCCTTGGGAAAGATGGCATAACCATTTACTTGAAACCTTTCGTTCTTGATGATGTATCATCATTTATACCTGAGCTTAATGGTTGTCTTTTCCCAAAGATGGGACTGCACAACTCAAGTGCCTACTGTGTTAGCTGATAGCTGTGCAAGTCTTGAGAAGAGGGGCTGAGAATAAGATGAAATACGAGGGCATGAACAAATATCAGGAACATGCTCCCAGCCCTTGAAGTGTATATAAGGTTGTAGATAACAATTTGGTAGTACTCATAAACATAGAGGGAGCGGAGGCATGAAATATGCAAAGCATAACAGTTGCGCAAATATAATAACAAACCCAGATGGTGGGTGAGTTCCTGGGGAAACAGCTGGGCAGAGGAAAAGGAAAAGGCTGGGGATTGGGCTCTGGGGGAGTCAGTAGATGGGAGTCAGGGTATTGCCAAGAATGGGAACTAGGTGAAGACTTGGGAGAACCAGCACATTCCAATGGGATAGATTTCTTCCTTATCTATTATGATGGCTTTTTCAAGGTAGAGGAGAACTATGTATGTTTGAAGAGACCTTGGCTACCTGCATTAATTATTAATACAACACAGTACTGTCATTCTATTTAATGCATCTCTTTTTAGATTATTTCTTTATTTAAAGCATTATTGTGAACTATAGAAAAGAAACCACTAAAAGATTTCCCTTATAGTGTTGTCACAAAACAGTGGGACTAGAAGGGAGCCAAGTAATTCAAATGGGTTGGACAGACATGTTCCTAAACCAATCCAGAATATATCTGTTTATTTTCAAAATGATTAAAGAAAAATAGTTGGCAGCTTTCCTCAGTGGCCTATGATACTCTTTAATAACACTCACTTCCTTTTGTTTAACTAAAATATAAAAATAAAGAGAGATGAAACTCTAACATGCCAATCAGTAAATGTTACTTACTTATTATAAACTTGGCTTATCTTATATGAACAACAATAAAAAAATAACGTGGGAGCCATAAACTCCCGTCATCTGGCAACGGTCTCCTGTTATTATGAACATTGGTAGATTGAGGTTGTGGTTTCTCAAAGGACTGAAGTGTTTGGGCACAATTTCCAGGACACTGTGTTCTACTGGACATCAACAATAATCTTTAAAGATATTATCCTTTAAAGATTAAAGGCTACTTTGGAAGGGTCTGAGTGTTTCAGAGTACAGTACAGGCACAAAATGAACTTGACCTTTGTTCAAGACTTTTTCCTTTTATGTTTAAAGAGCAGCAGACATATGGAAGTATTCCTGAAGTTCCTGCCTCACTCTTTTAGGTTGTAAAGGCATTTCTGCTGATAAGTGATTTAGGATTGAGCAACTGCTGATACCTTTGTGAGAAAACTATACGTTACATTTAAGAGGCTGAGTAAATCGGATTAGCAGGCAGTTCTCAGCTAACAGACATCTCTGAGCCCTCCCACTGCACTACTTCGGAGAGTCAAACATGCGAAAAGTAGTCTCAAGAGTTATCTAGTGTAGAAGCAGGCCATGGAGGAAATAAGTCCTCCAGGGGCTTGTCAGAGGTGATATGTAGGTGACTGTTTCTACATATATGCATTTCTTTAGCAGATTTTGCTATTCTGTGGAATAAGAGCAGAGAAGCTAGAAAATGCTGAGTGAAATTAACAAAATCCCTTTATCAACTTGGTGCCTCTGTCAGCAGGATAAAAATTAATGTAATGGTGGGTCTTTATGATCTTCTTAGAATATTCCATGGCACCCATTCCTAAAAAAGATTGCCAGGCTAGACTCTTCTCTCTCACTGAACTCTTCATTTCTGCCACTTCTGTTCAACAAGGTTAAGCTCATGGGGTCTTTAGGACCTTGCATGAAATCATACTGTGGTTGGCATTGCCCTGAGAAGAACTTCATTAGGAATGTGGGACATGTTTTGTTGAATTATATTTGTAATACTCTTCTTAATGTCCTCAGACGATTGAGCATATTTAATTTTTAAAAAATAATTTTACAAAGCAAAGATCAGTTTTATGAGACTATTAACTTGAATATAAATTCATCTTATAGAGGAAAATGTAAATTTTCCCAATTTTAATTACGGGAAGAATTATAACAAGAACCAGCTGTTGTAAAGACTGCCTGTGAGCTTACTTAATCTCATTCTCTCCCCTTTTCATGGCTATTTTTGTGTTCTGGGTAAAATGTCTCTGCCCATTTCTCTCAGAATATAGTTCGGCATTTTCCAAAGATGACCTTGTTTCCTCAACATCGTCTTTTACCCCAGAGCTTTTTAGTCTCCATTTTGACTCTTTAGAATTATAAAAAATATGAATGGAAGGTTTATAAGTTTCACATGTCAAAGTTCTCTCTTGGGAAGTTTAAGATGCCTCTAGAACAAGCCTATCTCAACATTTCATCAACCACATGGGAAGCCGGAAAACTTAATGTTTATGAGCAAATGCTTTGGGAACAGGGAATTTCCTTTCTCCTATTTTCTAGGTAATATCCCCAGGATTTAATTTTCTCATTTATGAAATTGGAATATTAATAGTGCTTGCCTCTTCAGGGTTGGGGAAAGCATTACATAATATAATGCATATGAAGAGCTTAGGCCAGTGCCAGGCATGGAGAAAGATCATAATAAATGTTAGCAATATGATGATAAAGAATTTGGAGTCTTGAAAAGTATTACAGCATAACAACATAGTATTTTCAGATAAGAAATCAGATCATGTAATCTGACAAGGTTATTTGAATTTGTTACTGTGGAGGAGAAAATTATTTCTTTGTCACTTACTGGCTGCATATATTTTTACTCAGTTGGAGTGTGTGTGCACACACTTGCAAGTGTGCACACATGCATGCAAATGCTGGTATGTTTTGTGTCCCTGCCTTGATGGTCAAGAGTTTTGCTTTATTCCTTTAAAAAAAATCCAACACAGCTATTAATGTTGTAAAGTGCACACAGTAGGCCTTCTACAAATATCTAATGTTTTTATTTGATTAAAAAATCAATATCTCATGCAAAATTTTACTAGTAGATATTGCGACCTTATGCAGATTTACAAGATGTTTGTTTTTAAAGAAAAAAAGAATTGAATTAAGAAATGAGGCCTTAAAAACTACCTAGAGCTGTTATTTTTGAGGATCCTGTTACTTTGAAAATGGCTCTTAGGTTGGTTGGTTTTGAGTTTTTAAAATGCTGGCCTCACTTAACACATTATCCTTTTGTTTTTATGTTATAGGGGAAAACTTACCCATTCCGCGGTGCCTTCCCTCCAGTCTGGAACCCCATTGCATATCTGGATTACAACAATCTGTGGCGGACAATGGATAACATGGGAAAGGAGGTAAGCTGTGTGTTCAGCCAGTACATGACCTGTTTCTAAAATAACAATAGCAGCTCTTTAATATCCTTCCACAGTACAGGGAACATTGCTCTGGATAAGGATACAGATCATTTCCAATACACCCAACAGCTCTGCAAAGTTGGTAGTATTTCCACTTTATAAACGAGGGACATTAGTTCCAAGGGGTTATGTAATTTCCCCAAGACCACACAGCAAGGGAACCAGGATTCAAACCCACATCCATCTAATACTAATGCCTGTGTGCTTTGCACTCTATGTCACTGAGAACCTAGTGATTTATGTTCACCAGGTATCCTGCTTATAGTTGTCTTACCAATATGTGATGCCACTTTAGTAGTAAAGGAGAGAAATATTTGTTTCTCTAAAGGTTTTTGCCTTAGTCTCGGGCTTTGTAACATCACTCTGTCAAACTTAAATTGGGGACTTAAAAATGGGTGTTAACTTTAAATAATAATTATCAAAATTTATTAATTTTATATATGTATTACATATTAATTTATTACATATTTATACATGTATGTATATGCAGCTATTATTGTGGTTATTGTTGTTGTGGTTATTATTATTGAAACCGCATTAGGGCATAGAGTCCAAAGGGGTATCCATCCCAAACTTACCAGTTTTCAGAGGTTTTTCTTAGGGCATCTTGGCAGAGCAGTGGGCAGTAACCATCACACCTGCATGAGCCCTTCTTTCTCTGTAGATTCCCGCTGATGCACCATGGGATGCCCCACATGCCGAAGAATGGGACAGAATTACGATGAAAGAACTCATTGATAAAATCTGCTGGACACAGTAATCTTGATTATTTAAAATTTACTTCTATATTCCATTCTGATTCTTTCTTATCTTGAACTGCAGCGTTTTTCTTTAAAAGTTATTGGGAAAGAGTTAAGAGGAAACCTAATGATTCTCCAGTCAGTAGCAACACTGAGGGCCCTTAGGGATTTCAGAGCAGGTTTGAACATGAAATGAACCTAAAACATAAGTAGAAAGTTAGGTGAATGAAGTAGAACTTTTTTAAGTAAAAAGGTTCTGTGATTTGCAATAAAACAAGTACTAATGTTTTCAGATTATATAGGAGTACAGAAGCAATTTGGAAAGATGTTAAAGTAATTCCACAGAGATATAAAAATGTGAAACTAGAGGGACACTAGTATATTTAACAAATAATATAAACTATATAATTTTTTCAGTAAAAATCTGTTATTACCCAAGTTACTTACAGATTATTCAGTCACCATGTGGGCCTGCTATGTGATGGCACTGTACCAATCATTGAGGAAGGGTGGTGAATTTGTCAAACAAGGCCCCTACCCTCTTTTAGCAGGAGACTGGCAGTATGGAAAAAGTTACATAGTGCTAGGAGAGTGTAACAGTGAACTTGAAATGTCAGAGAATAAAGGCGGTATTCTGTTTAAAGATTGTAGTCGCTGTGCAGGGAGACAGGAAGGATATATGATGTAGAAGGATGGTATCTTCCAGCTAGAAACCACACTTTATGGGGCTATACAAGAAGGTGGGATTCTGTGGGGGATGATATCTTCCAGGAATGAGCCACAGTGCATGAGGGAGGCAGGAAAGGATGGTGCAGAGGGGTGATATCTTCCAAGAATGAGTCAGTGCACTAAGGGGAGACATAAAAGATGGATGGTGCTTGTTGATGGTATCTTCCAGGAATGAACCACACTAGTTGGGGTATGGTGGGGGAAACATGGATGGTGTAAGGGGATGGTATACTCTAAGAATTATATACTGTGGATGGGTACAGACCTGAAAGGATGCATGGTGTATTCCAGGAATGAGCCACAGTGAATGGTGGGAGTTATGAAGGGTAGATGGTTTGGAGAAGTTATCTTCCAGGTGAAGAGAACAGCAAACAGCTTTTATAAAGGCTGTGCAAACCTTTGGTGCATAGGACGATGCCCAACCAACTGAGCCACACTGACCAGGTCACATGCCTCGGTTTCGGGAAGCAGCTGATGGATGGTCCACTCTCACATCAATATTCCTCTCTCCCTCCCTCTCCCATCTCCTCTCTCTCTCTCTCTCTCAAAAAAAAATTCGTTGTCTATAATTTAGAGAGGCATCAAGGGGGAATATAAGAGAACCATTTAGGGATAACCATGAGCAGCCACCATTGTAACCCAGGTGATAGTCATTGGTAGCCTGGACCAGGGTGGGGGCTGTGGAGGTGGAGAGTAGAGGATGGTTATTCAAATATGTGAGAACAGATATCCTTAGTTATCCTTGAGAAGCATATTGATCCTTTAGACTCCACTGGGATTAGCATCTTTAGAGTTAACCCATAATTCCTAAAAACAAGGGGAAAGTTTATTTTTCCGAAGAGTTAAAATATGCATTCCTTCATATATTGAATTCATGAGTGTTTTTTATAGCCATAGAAATGTTTTGTAACCATACTGCATTGTGTTTTAAAACCATGATATCCTGTGAAGCATATCTGTATTTACCTCTAATATCTGCTCTTGTTCTGTGACCAGGACAGCTAGGCGGTTTGCATCTCTCTTTGTGAACATCAATGTGACCTCTGAGCCTCATGAGGTGTCTGCCCTGTGGTTCTTGTGGTATGTGAAGCAGTGTGGTGGCACTACTCGGATATTCTCGGTTACCAATGGGGGCCAGGTATGGAGTGTTCTTTTGCAAATATAACTTAATTTGAGAGTTTTGCCCTCACCCAGATCAATCTATAATAATAAAAGCATAATATGCTAATTAGACCAGATGTCCTTCCAGATGAAGCTGGGGCTGTGAGGGAAGCCCGGGTCTGGGTGCCAGAGGGAAGCCAGTGCCTGCAGCGGGGGGAAGGAAGGCCTACTCTTGCACGAATTTCGTGCATCGGGCCTCTAGTGTCTTAATAATTGCTTCTACATTTTGAATGCAAATAATTAGCAGCTTGAAATAATCCCAAAAATATTTTCTGAAAACAAAATTTCTCACTCTTTTTCTTATTCCTGAAAATAAATTTACAGCTTAAGAATTTTCATTTTGAATTAATTAGGTCTTGGGAATTAACTTCTTTCCTTTTGGAGGTAGGTAAAATTAGGCTATTTATGTAAGGGGGAGCTAAATTACTGTAATAACTAATTTCCAAAAATTTATAATACAGATATAATTGCAGTCCGAAAAATATTACATGGAAAATTCCAGAAATAACCAACTAATAAATTTAGATTGTGCAGTGTTCTAAGAAGCAAGGTGCAATTTCACATCCTCCTACTGTATCCTGCCTGGGACTTGAACTGTCCTTTTGTCTAGGATCTCCACACTGTAGATCAGTGATGGCAAACCTTTGGAGCTCGGCGTGTCAGCATTTTGAAAAACCCTAACTTAACTCTGGTGCCATGTCACATATAGAAATTTTTTGATATTTGCAACCATAGTAAAACAAAGACTTATATTTTTGATATGTATTTTATATATTTAAATGCCATTTAACAAAGAAAAATCAACCCCAAAAATGAGTTCGCGTGTCACCTCTGACACGCGTGTCATAGGTTCGCCATCACTGCTATAGATGCTCCCCGCCTGTTGATCACTTAGTAGCCACCTCATCTGCTGTGGTATCACAATGTTTTTGTTCAAATAACCTTATTTTACTTAGTAATGGCTCCAAAGTGCAGGAGTACTGATGCTGGCAATTCATATATGCCAAAGAGAAGTCACAAAGGGTGTATATATATGTATAGGAAAAACATAGTATATATATGGTTTGGTTCCATCTATGGTTTCAGGCATCTGTGGGTCTTAGAACATACCCCACACAGACAAGGAGGGGATTACTGTACTTGTAAAATTATTGTACTTAAAGTCATCTCAGCTCCAGACATAAAGCTTTTGTGTCCCATTCTGTATCTTATTCTTTTATGTTAACTGTTATAGAATGGAAGTGACTGTTCTTTCTTCTAATTTTCATAGGGATTATGGCCACTCTTTCAATAGTAAATTCTACATTTTAGATTCTAAAATTCTACTGCCAACTAGAATTTGCCTGGCTCCATACCACTTCCATTATGAACTCCTTTAGCTGATTGTCTGGACTCACAGCAAACTAGTAGTGAGGCCAGAATCCCAATTCCCCAGTTTTCAGCCTCTGAGATTGTTTCAAGGTTCTCCCTTCTCCAAAGAAAATGGGTCTCTCCTTCCTAGGAATGTTATGCCTCAATGGGATGAGTTTAAATTAAGAACAGTTTACTTCTAACTTTGCTCTGTTCCATAGTGCAAGGTTTAGAGTCTCTGCTAAGTGCATTATTCCTCTCCTTAGGAAATATTCAGAAGCCCCAAGTTGTTCTTGTGGCCCCAAGAGTTATTGTCCATTTGACCCTTAGCTTTAGCAAATGCAAGACAGTTGCATTTTTGTGTGTCTTTACTTATGGGCAGAAATAACACATTACGCCTATAAACCTATATTTTACTTTCTGGGATATCTTAATTCAGAGGAGCCAAGAAACTTCTAGCCAAATGCTACACAACCTTTTGGAAAGCACAGTTCATATTGTGATTCTCAAACAATTAGCATAATATGTTTACAGTATAAAGAACTTAGATTTATTATTTAATAATTTAATTCAACCAATAGTAGACATGGAGAGGTAGGCAGTGAACAAGCTGAAAATAGTCTATGGTCTTTTCATTTCTACAATAGTAAAATTCAAAGTAAGTCTTGGAAAACAGAGGTCAAATTATAAATTAGATGGTCCCAGTTTCTTGAGGAAAGACAGATCATGAATTTAGATCTGAACTACTATGGGCAAATTTTTATAAAGAACTTTAGTGGTGTCATTTAAACAATAGCTAATTATAAAAGCATAAAAATCACGGTGTGGCTGCTCATGCAGTTTTGTAGAGGAGCATGAATGAGGTATCTAACTGTCAGATGTTGGGCCAAGCCTCAGTCTACCTACATGTATTTCTACCTACATGTACACTTAGGGAATCTTCTAAGGATAGTCCCCTGCTTCTTACAAAATGCATTGTATTAAGGACCTACCTTCTTAGATTAAGCTGGCACCATTTCCATGGTGAGTATAGCAGATCGCAGTGAGGCAGAGCATTTACAGGGCTGCTCAAGGGAACTTCTTAACAATGTCTGGAGGAACAGACAGGTGCTTAGCTTTCACCTTTCTGCCCCTGCATGGAAACTTCCAGACATTTTTGCAAGCAGTTACTCAATATCTGAGATTTAGATGCTTAGAATGTCATTGGGTGATGACCAGATGATTTACAAGAGCACTCTGAGCCTGTTCTCTGGGAGAACATTTTAATCTGCCTGGACAACCCTTGGCTAGAGCTTTGTGAAACCAAAGGGAGTTAGAAACTGTATCCCCATTTCAATAAATCTAGAAAAAAATACTATTTTTTAAATAAAAGAACCCATATCCCTTGGGTGAAGCACAGCACCTCCCAAGGTTTCCTTCATGCACTGCACTCTCGGGCATTGTGGAAGCCCACAGACTTGTTGATATTTGCATTCAGTCAAGGGACCACTGGTGTAAGGGGACATTTCTTTTGATTCTGTGACTTTATAAACTAGTATCTGCTTTTCATTGCCAGAAACTGCAGAGCATGATAATAGAGGTCTCTTGCTAGACTTTGCCTCTGACCTAATGAATTCTTCCAACATTTAAGTGTACAGAGGGTGAAGGTATGGCTTCTGGCTTACTGGAAGTTTTCTAATCAGTGGCAAACAGGATATTCCTTCCTTGCGTTTTTATAAAGTGTCCTGCCTGCCTTCTCCTGTAGGAACGGAAGTTTGTAGGTGGCTCTGGTCAAGTGAGCGAACGGATAATGGAGCGCCTCGGGGGTAGAGTGAAGTTAAGTCATCCTGTCACCTTTGTTGACCAGTCAGGTGACAACATCATCATACAGACGTTGAATAATGAAACTTATCAGGTAATGCAGTCTAGTCAAAAGGAGCATATATTAAATAGGCCTTATGTCTTCTGTAACTTCTAACCAAATATAATCCCAGCAGTGGCATAATTAAAGCTGGCATGTTTCCTACTCAGTCTCTTTCAAATGACCAGCCTTGGTTGACCTGCCTTTGTTGTTTTTTCTCTTACAGGATCCTCATTTTGTATGCTGTTACTGCTCAGTATTATTCAAAATGATAAATATGCTTCACGCCCTCTGCAATGTTCTGACTTCCGTTTGAGGTGTTATTTTGTGTTTGTGTCTTTTAGTGCAAATATGTTATTAGTGCCATCCCTCCGACTCTGACGAGCAAGATTCACTTTATTCCAGAGCTGCCATGTGAGAGAAACCAGTTAGTGCAGCGTCTTCCAATGGGAGCTATTATTAAGTGTATGATGTATTACAAGGAAGCCTTTTGGAAGAAGAAGGGTAGGCTGCATTTATTCATGTTTAAATTGTATTAAGTGAAGAAACTGTATTTTTTAAGGAGCATTATACTTAACACTAAATAGAAAAAAAAGCTAAGTGGTTTCAAACTGATAGAGAAAGGAGCAGAAATCCCAGTTTGTTCATTTCCTCATAACACAAAATGACCCCAAGAACACTTGCTGGCAGTGAAAGAGAAGGAAGAGATCCCTCTAGTTGCATGGCCACCATTACCCTGGCCCCTGACATATGTCCTGCCACTTACTCTTCATGAGCAGAGTGAGACAAAGGGACATCATGGGAAAAGCACTGCTTTGAAATCTCACTTTCCTAGGTTTCCCTTGCTTATTAGCTGTGTGGCCTGTGGTGTGACACTTCACCTCTCTTAGCATCAGTCTCTTTATGTAAAATGCTAACAATGAAACCTACTGTCAGATTATTGTGAAGATTAAATGAGGCAGGTTCTGGGCAGATATGGTGGCTAATGTTGATAAGCCTTCTGCTCATACTCAAAGGATTCCTTACTGCCACTTCTTCCATGATTTCATTGGGGTAATTCACTCTAACACACCCCTGTCTTTCCCTATGTATTCCAGGGTTCCAAGATCATCTTAAAATTTTAGTCATGCATTTATCATACATAACCTTTATGTAAAGGCCATTAAGATGCATCATTTTCTATGTGTCTGGTGAACAGACATCTTGTATAGTCAAGTGTGTGTATTTGATAGGAAATAGGTTATAGGGTTGGGGCAAAGCCCAATAGTTTAAGCTTTGCCTTTCCCTTAGCAAAATAGTTTATATATATGTATATATATAAATTTCCCCTTGATTCTCTGATGAGGTGAGTCTCAATAACCAGATTTTCTTCTGGTTAAGACTACTGTGGTTGTATGATCATCGAAGATGAGGAGGCTCCAATTGCAATAACCCTGGATGACACCAAGCCAGATGGATCACTGCCTTCTATCATGGGGTAAGTTAGAGCTGGGTGTTCTGCATGTTCCAAATGGTGTTGGTGTACTGTTGTGGACACTGGCAGAGTATATTGTTTTGGAATTGAGCTCAAGCAATGATAAATAACCCTACAGAAATATATCATGTTTCCATGTATTAAAATGTTCGAGTAATATTTTGTACTTAGCACAAGAACACTGGGAAGCTTTACCCAAATTGACACCATTTGAATTTGTGCCCATGTATATTTTTCCTCCATAAAACATATATTGGGAGCAGTGAAAGATGCAACAAAATAGGTGGTATGGTAAACAGCCCTGCCTAGAGATAGAATGTCCACAACCATTCTGGAATGAGAACTGTTTTATCCTGTAAAATCTTCTAAAGTTAGGGTTTCTGGGATTTCTCCATTTCTCCATTGCAAGCATTGCTACATAGAAACTGTTAACATGTTCATTGTTTCCCTGGGATATAAAAGGATGTCTAATTAGGAAGTGCAGTTTGAAGCAGAGCTAGGCCTCAAGTAGATGGCAATTTTCCTAGTAGGTCACCCTATGGCTGTCCTTCACCAAGGATGGTCCAGGGAGAAGTTCTGTGTCTGGAAGAGGAGAGCTCTGCTCCTCTCCTCCCAATCCCATACACCACTGCTCTGCCCTTTGGGGTCCAGAGAGGGAAGGGGTTGCCATAGACCACTAAGGAATGCCACAGTCTCCCGGGTGCCATGTCTTTTAGCCCTCTTCAAAGCTATACAAAGAAGAAGGCTATTTATTCTACCACATGACAACAAAAGAAAACAGCTCACAGAGCAGTCAAGTGACTTTTAGGGACCAGTGATTTTCCCCTTTACCACTGGGAGAGGTGAGCTTCTGCATATTGCATCTTGAAGGGAAATGACAAAAACAAAAGGAGCCAGACCCATGATCCAAGGGACTTAGAGAACAGGCTGGGCTACCAGACTGCCAACAAAACGTTTTGTAGTTCTCTGGCTGTAAAATATAAGAAACAGCATCAGCCTCTCTCGGAACAGCAGGTGCTCACAACGTAATAACCACAGTAACAATACCTCTTCAGATTGTTTGTGCAGTTTGGCATCACCTTCTATATGCCAAAGGAAAGCAGGAGGTAGACGTAGAGATTTTAGGAGACTCAATCAAGATTAGTCCACTTGTGGATGGAAGAACATTGGTCTTCTTCTTGCCCTGGGAGTTAGATATTGTAGCATCTGCTCTTCTGGGCTTTCTTCAGCTTTATTAACAAGGACATGTATAGCAGAAGGTGACAATTCCCAGATGGTAATGGGGTTATTTAGGCAGTTTCTAAAACGTTTTATCTGGAGTATTGCCTCCACCCTGTTCTTACCTTGAAAGTATATTGCCTCCACCCTGCTCTTTGCTCTGGGCAAGGAAAGCCTTGAAGATAGGAGTATTCATTGCCCAGTATTGTGTTTGTGATCATTAGCGCCTTTTGGAAAGGAGAAAGGAACTTGTACTTTAGAACTGTGTAATGTTCCCAACCCAAAGCCAATGTGTTTGATTTCCTCAATAAAGTGCCAAAGAAGTGTAAAGGAGAGTTTTCCATACAGAAGTAATCAAAGTGGTTATTTCATTCTCAATCTGAGATTCAACAGAAATAACCAACACCAACTGCCCTTTAAAAAAGAAACTATATAAAGCACCCAAGATCTAAACAGTTTTTTCAGCTAAATGATTTCATGTTTCATCAGATATTGGTGATTTTCACTGAAATAATTACATAAGTCTAAAATTATAGATTCTTGCATAGACTTAAAATTTAACTAAAATCATTACTAGCAAGACAGAACATAAAGTGTTAAGTCAAGCAAAATTATGATTATATCCCATAAAGTACAATAGTTCAAATTTCTTAAACAGTCTACAACTTCTAAAATACTATTCTCTGGATTAACACAAATATGTCTTTGTATCTTTGCTTTCCAGAATGATCTCAAATAATAGCTCTAAATGAATTGCCAATCAAATTGAGAAACAATTTAATTAGGGGGTGAGGGAGAGGGCAAAATACTTGTTTTTAGCCCTTGCATTTTAAGTCCTGATCTATTTGTCTTTTTGGCTAGAACAAAATACAATTTTAAACCTTTTAAAATGGAGATAGAATATCATTGTCCCTTAACTCATTTGGATTTTTTAAAAAAATTATTTTCTAATAATAGTATAACTAGGGATTTCTTGTCACCATTCAATTCTTTTAAATATACATGCTATTAGTAATATCAGTATAATAAATAGAATCTGTTTGGTTAAAGGGAAGCAAACAGATTGTAACTGAATTTTACCAAGTTACTAAATTTGGAGAATGTGCTAGGTGAGTTTCCCAGGAAGCCAACTCAGAGAAGGAGATTTGGGTGCAGGAGGTGTGTTGGGAAGTGCCCTGGGGCTTTCTACCTGTGCGGAAGGGAAGGAATCTGCATCAGGCAGAGGGAGAGACTGGTTTCTAATGTTGATCCGGTGGAGGCCTAAGCCATCCCACAGTGCGCTATGGAGCTGGAAGACCCTTCAGCGGTGTCCTGCACTGAGGCAAGGGGATGGGCCTTGGTACCCACTGCACTCCCAAGCTAGTCATTCTGGGGAGAGGCAGGGGATCTTGAGGCAGGCAGTTTTCTGCTGCAGAGTGGAATCAGCTGTGAGCTGCAGGCAGTGGGTGCTTGGTCCTGAAGAGGAATCTGGGTGACCCACCCTGACATCCAGTACAAAAATTTATTTACATTTATTTTTCCAGCTTTTATAAAGTATTTAACAGAAGGCAATAGTCATTACCAGGATAATAATTTAATGCAACATTAATTTTTCTGTCATTTGATTTCCTACTGTATACCAAAAACTGCAAGACTTTCAGGGTAAATATTGAATAGGACGCCACCTGTCATTTAGAAGCCCACAGCTTAGCAGGAGGGGTTTTGGATACAGAGGCAGACTGAAGACAGCATGGCATCTGTTCTAGTAGAGATAAATATGAGGAGGATGTGGGAGATTTCGTTAATTCTGAGTATATGGAGGCAAGAACACTGCAAAAACAAGAGGCAACTCTTAAGATAAACCATTGTCACCTAATTGTTCAAATGTAACCTCTCTTTCCAGCTTCATTCTTGCTCGAAAAGCTATCCACCTCGCTAAACTCCAAAAAGACCAAAGGTAAGATTTTACTTCTCAAATATATGCAACAGGTTAGCTTTATATTGTGCTTTGTGTGCTAACAATATCATAGCATTATGAAAAACAATAATTCACTAATATTCTCAAAATCCTAATAAATCAACCTCTTGTATTTTGCTACAGTGCCTCAACACAGTCTTTACCCATAAGAATATATTAATTTAGTTTGCATATTTGTTTTGACTTTACACTGGTTGAGAAGTCAGGGTTTTCCTGTAAGACAGATGGAGAAAACTCATAAAGGTGTTAGCTGTGGAGAAAGTTTTAGGGGCTCAGGCCCAATCACCTTGCAAGACCATTATCCCTTTATTAAGGTTTTCTGACATGCACTTTTTCTGAAAAGCAAAATCCATACATATGTGTTTCAACCTGTTTCAACTCACTCAATAGAGAAAGAGTTATGGGTCCAGTGATGGGGAATGATTTGGCGTAGGCCCATCTAGCTTATCACAAAGCCAGGAATGGCATCTAATGCATACTTTCTTTCATTATGCCATACTAAGCTTGACATTTTCTTTTGGATTTCCTGCTTCCCCTCTTTGTTAATAGTAAAATAAACATCAGTCTGAGTATAGACATTTGGCTATGATTCCAAATGGTATCTGAACTTCTCAAAAGTTTTTATACGACAAAACCTTTATAAGTCTGAATATGGCATTGACTAGAGCAACAGTTCAAGAACCCACTGTATCAAAATCTTCCATAGAATGTTTGATGTTGTGTGTATGCCCGCACACATACAACTCACACACACGAATATTACACAGCAATAAAAAAGAATGAAATCTTGCCATTTGTGACAACATGGATGGACCTACAGGCTATTATGCTAAGTGGAATAAGTCACACAGAGAAAGACAAATACCATGTGCTTTCCCTTATATGTGAAATCTAAAACAAACAAAAACAAACAAACTCATAGGAACAGAAGACAAAGGGATGGTTGCCAAAGGGAAGGGTTGCAGTGGGATGGGTAAAAAGGGGAAGGGGAATATAGTCTCTAATATTGTGGTAAGTTTACATGATGACAGATAATTACTAGAATTAGTGAGGCGATCACATTGTAAGGTATAAAAATGTCAAATCACTACATTGTACGCCTGAAACTAATATAACCAATATAAGATTATAGAATAACTATACTTAAATTTTTAAAAATGTTTGGAAAATATATTTTTCTGAGGATGATAGATTATGATTTGGTAGGTTAGAGGTGGGGCCTGAATATTTTTTTAAAAATATATTTCATTGATTTTTCACAGAGAGGAAGGGAGAGGGACAAAGAGTTAGAAACATCGATGAGAGAGAGAAACATCGATCAGCTGCCTCCCGCACACCCCGCACTGGGGATGTGCCCGCAACCAAGGCACATGCCCTTGACCGCAATCGAACCTGGGACCCTCCAGTCCGCAGGCTGACGCTCCATCCACTGAGCCAAACCGGCTGCGCCGACTGAGTATTTTTTTAACAAGCTTTTCAAGTGATTGCTATGAGCAGGCAGATTTAGAAACCAGTGGGTAAATTCAACTACAAAGTGATTTACACAGTGAACTCTCTTGGCCATCATTAAAATATGTTCTCTCATTTTTAGAGCCCAACTAAACAGTCAGTGCATTGCTCCAACATCCTTGTAGTACATACTTTTCTAAAAATTTTTCATTTTAATGGGAGCAAGGAATGGGGAAGATAATTTCCTGATATATTTGTCTGAATTCATTCTTGACTCAACTAATAATATGAAATACAGTAAATAATGACTCATATTTCTATTATAACTGATTTATCACTCAAGAATGAAAAATTAGCGGCAATGTAGGTTGATTAGATTTTAGGTTTCACTCTGTTTTAATATTTTTTAATATTTTTTATTGATTTCAGAGAGGAAGGAAGAGGGAGAGAGAGATAGAAACATCAATGATGAGAGAGAATCATTGATCAGCTGCCTCCTGCACACCTCCCAACTGAGGATCGAGCCCCCAATCCGAGCATGTTTCCCTTGACCAGAATCAAACCCGAGATCTTTCTGTCTGCAGGCTGATGCTCTATCCACTGAGCCAAACCAGCTAGGGCTGTTTTAATAAAGATTTTATTATATGTCCCCAAAATAAGTTAAACCTCATTAAGTTTTTCAGAATGATGATCAATACTTTTGCTTTCTAATCGACTCAGAATGTTGGCATTATTCCTTGTAACCTCATATGAAGTACGTAAGTATCAGCCATCTATATCTACATCATAGAGGGTACCATTCTAGGCTGAGGATGGATTTTGTTTTAATACATTTTTATTGAGCACTTACTACAGGTGGGATACTCAGGAGAGTTGAACCTCAGCCCTGTCATTAATTAGCTGAGTGATGTGGAACAACTCTCTTCAGTGCACTGAGCCCCAACCTTCTCATCTCTAAAATGAGGGGTTTGGATTAGACCAGTGGTTCTCAATCTTCTGGCCCTTTAAATACAGTTCCTCATGTTGTGACCCAACCATAAAATTATTTTCGTTGCTACTTCATAACTGTCATGTTGCTACTGTTATGAATCGTAATGTAAATATCTGATATGCAGGATGGTTTTAGGCGACTCCTGTGAAAGGGGTCTAGCAGGACCAAGGGGGTCGCGACCCACAGGTTGAGAACTGCTGGATTAGACAGAGAGAGACAGAGCATAGTAGGTTTTTTAAAAAATATTTTTACTGATTTCAGAGAGGATGGGAGAAGGAGAGAGAGATAGAAACATCAATGAGAGAGAATCACTGATCAGCTGCCTCCTGCACGCCTCCTACTGGGGTTCAAGCCCACAACTCAGGCATATGCCCTGACTGTGATCTCTTGATTCATGGGTGGAAGCTCAACCACTGAACCATACCAGGCAAGAGGATAGTAGTTTTGAGAGTACTTCCAGTTCTGCCTTTCCTTTGTGATTAGTACAAACAGCTCCTTAAAGGGAAAACAAACTTTTCCTGCTTGTACTGGAACTTAAATAGCCATCTAATGTTGTATAACATCACCTCAGGACTAGCATTCGTCTCTCCCTTAAAATCTTCCATGGTAAAATGCTGGCAAGAGCCCTGGAACTAACAGTGTTTACTTGCTTAACATTTTGGTTCTTTTTTACAGAAAGAAAATAATCTGTGAGTTGTACTCCAAAGTGCTGGGAAGTGAGGAAGCTTTACACGTAAGAACACCCAGCTTTAATACCTAGCAGGTTGTTCTCAATTTGCTCCAAATGAATAAGCAAAGCAGATTCATGTTTTCTGACAGTCTTATGAAGAGAGTATAAAGGGATATGCTTACTGGAGGAGTAACTTCAGCAATGACAGAAGGTCATTAAAAGCTGCTGTCAGGTGCAAGCAGTTTCTGATGTAGTCATGCCTTGGAGCAGTGGTCAGCAAACTGCGGCTCGCGAGCCACATGCGGCTTTTTGGCCCCTTGAGTGTGGCTCTTCCACAAAATACCAACTTCTGTGCATGGGCCACGAAGTTTCAATCTCACTGTACGTGCGCGCCCGCACGTGGTATTTTGTGGAAGAGCCACACTCAAGGGGCCAAAGAGCCGCATGTGGCTCGCGAGCCGCAGTTTGTCGACCACTGCCTTGGAGTATTTAAATGTTCACTGAATAATTGGCAACCAATTGTAGTCAGAGCCTGGAGCTGCAGGTATTATCTCCAGGGTAGATAAGATCAGTTCCCAGAACTGAGGGCCTGTATATTATTATATACTGCAGTATATACTTGACAGTGTAACTGAATGTAGACTCTGCCCAGGTCAAAGTCATGCTAATTTGTTTTCCCATTTGTAGACTCAATTCACAGTTCATTTAGGAATTTCAGTGCTTTCAATCCACCACTGAAAGCAAGTATGAGCATGAAATTCTTTCTGAAGATCCTAGCAGATAGCTTACGGCTCTTTTAGGAGATTATCTCTGAACTGTTCAAGTAATAAATTTGCAGAAGGTGTTAGGAAAATCATAGGAGGTTCTCTTATGTCCCTTGAGAAACATCTTCATCTTTAATTCTCCCCTTTTTATCAGAATTCCTATCATTCACTTTTCTAGCTTAGAGAAGTAGTTCTGAAAAAGTATTTCTGAGACACTGTTTATCTTCTACCTCCTCCATCACCTTTTTTTTCCCCCCAGCAGTAATGCGCTGGTGGATGGGGAAGCATCCATCTATTTTATTTAGAGAATCTAGAGATTTAAGCAGACTTTTCCAGGGCCTGATTATTGATGGGATTTCCTGTAGACTTAGGTCTAGACTTCAGAATCTGCCTGGAGATGTCCTGTGCCCAGATATTGGAATGCTTCATGTCTTCCCTAGTCAAGAGGTTGAGAAAGTCAAAAGTATACATGGTACCTCACAAAAGATCTTTACTTGGTTCTGTCATGTTTCCCTTAATGTGCTAGAAAAACAGGTCCACCTTTTTTAAAATGTAAACTTTTTGTTAAAAATACACAAGAGCCTTCATTGTTGACTGATAGAATTTCAGCTTTCTCTTTCCTTTGGAATTTTCTTCCCATTGAACTTCAGCCAGTGCATTATGAAGAAAAGAATTGGTGTGAAGAACAATACTCTGGAGGCTGCTACACCGCCTACTTTCCTCCTGGCATTATGACTCGATATGGAAGGTACTACCCAGACACTATATCGATTAATACAAGACATACACTAAACTTACAATATAAGCAAAGTTCAACAGGAATTTTAGAAATAGTAGTCAGCATTCCTATTTCTAATGTCTTAAGTAGTCAGTTTGTATATTTCTAGATGTCCATAGAAAAACAAGTATGTTGGTACAATAGAACAATAGCTGTCAGCACATAGAACAATAGCAGAATACTGGTGAGGATTTCACATGGCAGCAGTACATGCGAGAATTCTGCAAGTTGCAGTGTCTTCCAAGAGGCCTTCTTGAGCTCAATTAGACATTTAGTCACACACGACCCCTCCAGGTTCCTGGGCACCAGTCTACATAGAAGGACATGGGCTAAACATGTCTTGCCACAGACATATTCATCTTCAGGGGGAGGCATCCCCATTGTATACAGCTAAGGTGTGAAGAGGTGATAGCCACCCAAGGTGGAGGAGTCCATCTTGGCTTAGAAGCCCCATAGGAGCCATTGTCTCAACCTCATAGACATGGTATTCAGGGTCCCTGCAGGGGGCACCACACTCAATGAAGCTCAAAATGATAGCCTCCTGCGAGGTATTTACAATCCATGACAGTCTTCCCAGCCCAGGTGCAATTTATCATTGTAGGGCAGTATTGCCTGATAACATAGATGGCATTATACCTTCATCAGGTTTTTAAAGGAACAGAGCTAGAAAGTTAACTGAAGGTCACATTTGTCACGAGGAAGAAGAATTTATTAACCCTTTCCTTACATGAGATTATTATTTGTGTTTTTTTTATTATTAATTGAATCAAATACTCATTGGTAGTGATAGCAGGATTGAGTAACTGGAGTGGTTCTGAAGTCTATAAGATGGGACTAGGATCAGCAATAGATGAAGCAAAAGATTCCTAAGCTGGAAAAAGGTATGGCAGTAGGTTGAGGTGAAGGCCTTTGGGATAGAAATGGGCAGCTTGGGAGATTTTATCAAAGTGGCTGCAGACATGGTAGGAGTCAAAGCCAACAAGGTCAGAGAGGACAGTTGTCATTCAACCCTGCCCTTCCATGGTTCTCTTTGGCAAGACCTCTGTAAGAGAAGGCCCACTACCCTGCCCTCAGCCAGTCTACAGATAAATTCATAGACACTAACTGTACAGCGTGTCTATGAGTGTCTTTTTTTTAAGGAGACATACATATAATCCCTCAGGTCTTTTTTTTTAAGTGTTTTCATTGATTTCAGAGAGGAAGGGAGAGGGAGAGAGAGAGAATCAGTGATCAGCTGCCTCCTGCATGCCCCACTGGGGATGGAGCCTGCAACCTGGGCATGTGCCCTGACTGGGAATCGAACCATGACCTCCTGGTTCATAGGTCGATGCTCAACCACTTAGCCACGCCGGCCGGGCTCCCCTCAGGTCTTTTCTTTGCCAGAAATCATTTAACCTTCCTGTCTTCCTACTCGCCACTATAGTTATTCCTGACAACCTGGCAGTGCCTGCGTGGTTGGGGTGTGCCATCAGATGTGATCCCATGCAGAATCCACCCCTTTGGAAACATCTTTAGCAGAATGGACTACAGACATAAAACATACAGCAAATAAATCTGACTGGATTTAATGCATGTTCTTAGATTCCAATTCTGAATGGCTAGGAAAAGGTCAACATCACCTCTAGTGATTGATGATCTGACAGCCTGATTCTCTCTGGCTTGAAAGTTTAGACCCTTGGGTGCAGGCCCAGGAAATAAGGAAGAGCCTTTCACCTTTGGCTGAGTCACATGGGACTTTTTGAAACAATTTGAGTTACCCTGTCTTCTCTGGGATAAATGAGGGCAGCAATTGACTCATTCGTCCTCAGTGCCTTCTCAGGTAACTGTGTGACTTCTCTGTTCCCTTGAAGGATAATTCGAGAACCAGTAGACAGAATTCATTTTGCTGGAACGGAGACAGCCACACATTGGAGCGGGTACATGGAAGGAGCTGTTGAAGCTGGAGAGCGAGCAGCTAGATCGGTAAGGGAGGAAGCCAAGCCAGCCTCCCTCCTGAGTCCAGCAGTGTTTTTGGTATCTGGCCTTTCTGGATCTTGACACTGATAAATCTGTATGTCTACTTCTCTGCCCCTTACTCCACTCAGGGGGCTCATCGGAGGCCAGGAGGGCCTTGAATCCGTCAACACTACAAAACCTCATTTCACAATACCATTGCCACTTTCTTTCAGATCTTGAATGCTCTGGGAAAAGAGACAAATCAAGACATCGAAGAGCCTGAGTCAGAGGTAAGTTTGTCAGCTTCATCACCATAGACTAGTGCAGGGGTGGGCAACCTTTTTGTGAGTGCGTGCCAAAACCAGCAAAATCTCTGACTCAAAATTCTTCTGCGTGCCAACCCTAATTTTTTGAGGACATGTTACGCCTACTTGATATCTCTTAAGGTGTACGTATGTGAAGAACCTTGAAGAAATAATAAAATTCATTCGAGCGACAAAAACACAATATATGATGATGAAAAATACATTTATTTTTTAATGTATACATGTACAGATAGTCCGACAGAAAACTTTATGACTCCGTTTGATATTATCAGTGGGACTTTTGCTGCTGCATCACTGATGACAGAGATTTTACATCAGGTTTATATTTCGTGACCTTCAGAGATATGCACGAGCTACTACTTTCATCCGTCAGGCTACTCCTATTACGAGATTTAACAAAATTCATCACTGAGAACAAAGATTCACAAGTGTATGTGGATGAAACCAAAACACTGGTCGGATCTAGGAAGGCAGGGAGAGTTAAGGCAGAGGCATAGAAATTGCTCTTCCCCTCTCTCGTCAATCCATGTCTATGGTCTTTAAGATAACTTGTTATGTAAAATTATTTATTTATCTAAGATGCACCTACACTGAATTTATCTGAAAAATAAAAAAGTTGATATTAAGGAAAAAATTGTAAATGGAAGATTATAAGAGAGGGTTTCGCGTGCCAGCAAAAGTTACTGGCGTGCCATGTTTGGCACGCGTGCCAGGGGTTGCCCATCCCTGGACTAGTGACTACATGAAAAACGCATATCTTTCATCTTCTAGCCTCTGGTGTAATTGTAGGTGCCACTCTCCAAAGCATATCTGCACTAATTTTACAGATATGTTTTGCCCCTCTTTGTTAGTGCAGAAGTCTTCTGCTAATGATCTGTGTTCTTTCATCTAGGATGTCCCAGCTATTGAAATCACACACACCTTCTGGGAAAGAAACCTCCCCTCTGTGCCAGGCCTGCTCAAGCTCATTGGATTTTCCACATCAGTATCTGCCCTGTGTTTTGTGGTGTACAAGTGCAGGCTGCTAGAACGATCCTGAAGTACACTCTCTGCTTACCCTTTTCCAGTACCGTCAGAAGGGAAATGTTGACAAATTAATGGCTGTGTCTCATTAGACTATTGTTAAGTGCACTGGATGGAACACCTTAGTTTAGTCTGTGTTAAAGTAAAAACAACTTACAGAATCCCACCTAATAACCAGTGGAGAGCATGCTCCATCTTATTTGTGTAGATTAATTCATGTTGATTGGTGTATTAACTCTTGTGATCAGTTTCTTAGTTTCAAGTTAAAGTGCTCATCAGAAACAACTGCTATGACCTGTTTTTCTCCCCTTTAACATAAAATGCCTGGTAATTGCAGAAAGGAAACATTTAACTTTCTGTAGAGGTTGAATGGGTGAATGCCCAGCTTGTGACTGATCTTTTCAGTCCTTAGGACATGTGCGGCATAGGTCCAGAGCCCAGCGGCTCCCAGTCTCCTGGGGTGAGCAGCTCCCACTTAGTGTGAAGGAATAGGACATGAACGCAGTGGAGGGAGACCAGTGGTTGCGGGGATACATTTTGTGGGTTGTTGCCTCAGGAATCTTCTGACCACTTCTAATTCCTGCAGAGTTTCTAGACATCTAGCCTCAGTCTTAGCTTGCCTGTATATTTTCCCAGTTTTCTTCTTAAAGAGGAGAGTGTTTACCAAGGCATGATGATTAAATTGACTTTCTGTGACTTTTGTGCAGCTCTCCAGGTGAGCAGAGCGAACTAGTGACAGGGTTGTCCCCTTGAGGCCTCCCTGACTAGCTCTGCATGAAGCATCTTTTCTTCCTGGAAGATGGCTAGACATCACTTCGCTCATCCTTGATGATAACATTCTCTACCAATTTCAAGAAAGCAGTATTTTTCTTTTTTTTTTTTTTTCTTTCAGGTAGACCCTGGCCCGTAGTGGCATATTTTTTTTTCTTTTTTCCTATGACCATAATAGAATTATAGATCTGTTAACTTAAATATCTCTTTAACATAGTTAGCTTAGAGTAAATGTTAGCATGATAATTTTTCTCAAATAACTGAAATAGACATTAAAATTTTTGTTGTTGTTATTTGTTAGACTATAAGATACAGAAAGGAAATCAGGGCTCTATTATAAATTCTCTTGCCTTAGGTATTACATTTTATAAAAGGCATGAAATGGAGTGATTTCACATATGAAGACTAAGTTCTCTAAGGAGTAGTGTGGCCCAGACTAGTGCCTACCTCTTGTCTTTCCCATTTAAAACCTGTCAGAACTGTAAAGCTTCTTCCAAAGGTTTCAGCCACAAGACACCTCTTTTCTTAGTATAAACATCTGGGGAAAATATCAACACACATGTGATCAAATAAAGCAGTTGAGAAGATTCAGTGAACTCAGGTACGCAAGTGATGGATATACAGTAACACCCCATCCTGCATCATCAGTGAATGATAGCTGACACTTACTCTTTTATGTGCCAAAAATTTTAAATAAAAATATCGAAGAACATACTTCCACACATTAAACAAGTTAGATTCAAGATATTTTTTATCAGGTCAGTTATATGCCTCAGTTATCTTATGCTTTTATTATAGTGTGATACCACTGTGTTTGCCCCTCCACAAAGTATCACGTTTGTTTTATAGCTGTTGAGTCGACTGTTTCTTCTCCCATATTCAGCATTTTATTCTATATTCTCGTTATCTCCTAACACTCCTTAACCTAATCTATTTTTTATTAAATGGGAATTAAAGCCTGCCAAAGGAAACCAACCCAAGTTTATTACATAATTAACCTTATCATAAGTCCAAAATTAAGTAATGGCCCCGGTGTGAGGACTTAAGGTATTTGTTTTGCCTATCCTACGGGCAAAGAGCAGGGTGTTTATGCTGCTCTTTGCCTTTCATTTGAAAAGTGTTTTAGCTAATTTAGGAGACTAGAGAAACTAGTCAGTTCAGGCAGCTGATAGTGGGTTGCCCTGTTAAGGCGTCTGTTTCACAGTTCTGAAGACTTGAGTTGGCCTTACTCCATTGTAAGATCAATAATTAGACTTTAAAAGTTATCCTTTTTGTCATAACCGTTAAATAAGTATTTATACCACACTGAAGAAAACGATTGCAAGATCATGAACTACATTTTGTTTGATTGTGAACTTGATGTCTAATGTTCTGTCTGAAATGTGCCCCATTGCTACCTGTGGGGCTATGCATATGTGTGTGTTGGGTTTTTTTTTTTGCAATTGAAATATGCTTTTGCCTGTATGGTACTGTTTCATTTCTTAATAAAGTGCACTGCCACCCTGACTCAGACCTGGCTTCTCTATTTAGTGGATAGTCCCAAGATTAAATGGCTTCTTATGGCAGGAGGTTACAATGAGGCATTGTCCATGGATAATGGGTTTAAAAAAGCCACTTTGTATTGATTACAACATCTCATAGTTTGGTTTTCTCTCATGTTTTATCTAGGTTTTCTGGGGGCTGATTAAATTTTAGAATATTGTCTGCCTGGGCTATAATCAGTGTAGAGCAGTGGTTCTCAACCTGTGGGTCGCGACCCCTTTGGGGGTCGAACGACCCTTTCACAGGGGTCGCCTAAGACCATCAGAAAACACATATATAATCACATATTGTTTTGTGATGAATCACTATGCTTTAATTATGTTCAATTTGTAACAATGAAAATACATCCTGCATATCAGATATTTACATTACGATTCGTAACAGTAGCAAAATTACAGTTATGAAGTAGCAACGAAAATAATTTTATGGTTGGGGGTCACCACAACATGAGGAATTATATTAAAGGGTCGCGGCATTAGGAAGGTTGAGAACCACTGGTGTAGAGTCTGATAGAAGCTTTCTCACCTAATTAACTCATAACAATATAGTTCTCTGTCTAAATTTCCCCATCTGGAAAAGGGTGAGTTGTACTTGACTTCTAATGATTCTTTTAATGGCAGCATCATGTGATTTATGTATTTGTTGCTTACCAGTATCTATAGTCGACTATGCAAGTCACTCTGCCTTTCTGTATCTTGGTTCACTCCTTTGTCTTAGGTTAGGTTTCCTGGAAATAGACTCTGGGATACAGAGTCAGGGCAGAACGTTTATTGAGGACAACTCCCAAGTACAGGGACGAGGAAGGCAGAATTGGACAGGAGTTGACCTTCAAAACAGTTGCAACTGAGGCCTCAGCAGATCCTAAGGAGGAACTGGGAAGGCCCTTCAGAATGATCCCCCACTGAGGCAAGGGGGTCTGGCCTCCACACCCCTTCCTTAGCCATCCTCTGGGGGGGGGGGGGGCGTGCTACTTTGGGTGAGGAACGGCAGCTGTGAACTGAGATCAGCTTCTATTCCCAGCAGCTGGGGGACCCAGGGAGCGGCACCCGCAGCATCCACTTTACTTGCTGTGAAAACGTATGTTGCCCTTTCTCATGTAAAGGATGTTGTGGACTTGAGCTTTGGGTTTTATACATAGAATGGAGCTATCGCTGTGAAACTGTCCCTGTTAGGTAAGGTAATTGCTTTTATTTTTTTAAATTTAAATTTTTTATTGTTGAAAGTATTACATATGT